CCTGGCAGCTGCTAGCTCAAACCCTAACTATGCCGCCTTTGCTTCAAATGCTGCGCTATTGGAACAAATATTCAACACCTAATCCCTAAATTTACAGGAACTTCTGACATTGCAACCTACCTGAAATTTTTGAAAGACATGTGAGAAGTTAATATAAAACAAATAGATTACATCACTCATCTCCTACCTCTTCTGCCTATACATTTCGCAAATTATTTTAAGAGAACCAAAGACAAATTAGAAGATTATTCTTACATCAAGCACATTCTGCTACAAAGATTCAAATTAAATGCTGAATTTTCGAATTAAACTTACTACACACCAAAAACACCTGGGCCTTATGGAAAGATTTTGCTTACGAATTAAACAATTATCTCGAAGAGTGGCTTCATAGTCTCGATGTTACAGACTTTGATCACTCAAAGACTTGGTCCTGACGGATCAGCTTAAAGAAGAGTCAGTAATGTGCGTTAAGGAGCATTTTATTGATACTGGGGGGAAAAAAAGAGTTCATCTGAATTAGTACAGAAATTGGATGATTATGAAGCTGCACGTGTTAAAAATACGAACTAAAACTCAACTTCCTGGCAGGCGGAACTATTCTTTCAACGATAGTCCATCTAAACACAAAGTAGAAAATCAACAAGTGACGTACAAGGAACTCATAAAATCTTTTCAAATCGTGGTCAGCAACAAACAGAAGAAAAGCGACCTTCTTTAACATGCTATGGGTGCGGAAAAACGGGTTTTATCAAGTTTAAATGTTCAAACTGTAACCCCCCCTCCAAACTTCAAATTCATCAAATTTTAGCGCGATCCAAATCCGATCCTGTTTACCTTCCACACGGTCTGCTGTATTTCGAATTAGTATTAGTGGTATTTCCGGTACAGCTTTCGCCGACAGTGGTGCTAGTCACTCAATCGCAAGTGAGTCCCTCTATCATATTCGGCAGAAACAAGATGCAGTATTTGAAAAGACAAAACTACAGGTATCTTTCGCTGATGGTTTGGTATCTGAAAAGGAGGTACATAGCACCGGACATATTACTATTATTGAAGGCAGAGAGTTCAAAACTCCGCTCCTTGTGTTGCCTGATGCCAAAATAACTCGACTCTGTTAGGAATTGACTTTCTTCTCAAAAAGCTAAATTGTTTTAAATCTTGCTGAAAATGGTGAACTTTTGATGAACCTCGAAGAAAATATAGCTTCGTGAAACCTCATCATCCCAGTACTGGAAGAAACCCCAGTTGTTGCAAACAACTGCCAACTACGAGAAAATGAAGACAACAATTAACTACAGCCCAACGGCTTGCAACTGATGCATTGCTTAACAAATATCACACTGTCTTCAAAGTAGGGGGAGAAACCACTAATCAAAAGCCATCTGGCTTACTTCAAATTCCAGTCTGTGTTCAACGTTTTGAGACCTTGTCATTGATCTTTTCGGTCCCCTTCCTGAAACACCGTCTGGTGAAAAATGGATTTTTTGTGCAGGACTGTGCTACGAAGTAGACAGAACTATTGCTTTAAAGGAAGCCGGCCCAAGAATGTGTTAACTTTTGGAGGAAGTCGCCCTTCGATTTGGGTTACCCAGGAAAATAATAAGTGATAATGGTACCCAGTTACTAGTGCTGTTATGCAACAACTATGCTATATCTTGAACATTGATCAAGTCTTACTCCTGCTATCACCCACAATCTAACCCAGTTGAAAGGAAATAGAGATCTGAAACCACGTTTAGCAATACTTGTTGGTAACGACCATCAGTCATGGAAGGATAAACTGCCATTAATAAGGTTTGCTTTGAGTACAGCCAAATGTGATTCAACTGGACATTCTGCTTCTTTTCTTCAATTTGCACGAGAATTACGAACCTTAGATGATGTAAAGCATGATATAAAAGCCGTAATTGAGAACGATAATTTTGTTCCCGAAATTACTCCATATTTGAAACGTTTTGCAAGAAATGTACAACAGGTACAAGAAAGAGTCGAAATGCATCAAGATAAGCAGAACGATATGCTGACAAAAAACGAAGAGAAACACCGAAATCGTTCCTGGAGATAAAGTTTGGGTCCCCTCCATCCAATCAGCAAAGGTCCACTGAAGAAACTGCTAAATTCATGCCCAAGAGAGATGGTCCTTATGTGATAGTGACTACAAGATCTCCAACTACTTATGATATTGCCGATCCTCATGACCAGACAAAATTCTCGGCAAGTATCAGTTTTCAGCCTTGAAACCATATCAAGATCGAAATAAGCAAAAACTCAGCTCGTGTAATTCCAGTGGTTCCCTTAAAGAAAAGAGGACGCCCGAAACGTGTAATACCATCCGAATCTGCACCTGTTGCACAAGGTGCTGGTGACGTAAAATCTACTCCTCGTCAAACTGGAGCCCGTCCATCTGATTCTCCGCCCGCTGCACAAAGTAGACAAATGTCAGTTCCTGACTTCTTGCCGAGACGTCTACGAAGTCAGAGGGGGAGGATGTAACAGACCTATTTAAGTGTAATTGAACTATTTTATTCACGCAATGAACTCATGAACTGTAACCGAACTATTTTATTTACACGCCATCTCGTGGCGATATGAAAAAACGTCAGTCGACCTCCAGCCGCCATGATGATAGCTTACTTATGTTATGTTATTCTCAATGTTTGATGTTCCATTTGGTATATGTTTCATTTTTTATGTATATTTCTTTTGTTTGTAACCGTTCCTGTGTGCTCTGTTAATAAATCCTTTTAAAGCTAGCCGGCATTAGTGTCTATTGAGGAACGGCTACATCACAAATGTTATTTTACATGATGCAATAAACAGTTTTCGAATTAAAAAAGTATTTATCATTTATTTACACTTTTAATACTTGCTTCTGGATAAGCAAACTATAAAATATGCAAATAGAAGTTTTCTAGAAATGGTCTATGACCCATTATGCAAAGAGGTAACTTCCATGCGATTACCTTTTGTCACACATCTAGGCATGGCATAATTAGTCTAAGCTTCCTGCTATTTACTGTAGTATTAGAGAAGGAATCGGTATTTTAAATAAGAGAGGAACTAAGGAAGTGTCTGGGAAATCCGTCCTGTGCTCTCAGCTGCATCCTTTCCCATGGTGTCAGCCTTGTGATTAAAAAAAATAATGTACAGCGTGAGTTTTGGCCCAGTCGATCTTATGGTTTAGATAACTGCATCTTCAGATACCTCGTTGCATAATGGAATGCTGTAATGAGAAGCCTTCAGATTGGATTCTGTTATATTATTAAGCGAGTTGAATCAGAAATGTATGGTAGTATAGTAAAATCAGCAATGTAAAGTAGTATAGTAAAATCAGCAATGTAAAGTAGTATAATCGAATTAGCATTATATTATACGTCTTTGGCTATTAACAGAAATTCCGTCTGAAGATGCTGTTTTGTGGGAAAAGATAGCCTTTCCATTATGTAGAACATTAGTGTATTGTATGCAAACGTAAGCTCTATGATTAACTACTCTATGATTAACATCTGAGCCATTAGGGTAAACTATTATGTGGTAATTGAGTAAATATAGTGCATTACGTATTGCGATATGCTAAGTCCATGCCTTTATGACTCCGGATGTATATTTGAAGGAATGACTTGCGTTTTACATTACTGTGGGAAGTTTCATTCGTCATTAAATTCCGCTATAGTTCTACTCGGTGTCTAGCGGCAATAGTCTTGCCAAGTTATTTCCTGCCACCGTTGATTTGGTAAGGAAAGATATGTAATAGCAATTGAAAAGGACGTTGCTTAACAGACGCCTTATTTTCTGCCCTTGCAGGGGGGGTAGCCATTACTGCTGCTGCATATATTACAATTTTTATGATTACCTATACTGCACTTTGCATTTTGTATTTGGAGATGCATATTTCGTCTATGGAATATTTCGCTTGTTTCTTCGCTGGTTTTTTGTCAATTAATTATCGGATTTCCTTCTGAGAAGTAAAGCTGTTACATTGGCGTACGCTACGATGGCGGTACGGTTTGGCCAGTGGATAGTGAGAATACTACTGAACTTAATGTTCAACAAGATCGTCTTTGCAGTGTAATCCTGTGGCAGTCTCTATCTTGTAATCTGCTAATTATGCTTGAATTACGAACTATAAGGTGTGGTCTTTTTGTAAGATAATTTCTGAAGCCTTCATATAAGTTGGCAGGGCATTTAATTTCATATATCGGGGTATATGTGCAGAATTCATTGTACAGTAGTTGCACATGCTCAAATATATTGATACGATATATATATATATATCTAAGCTAAGCTTAGAAAGCAAGGAGATGAGATGGATTAATGTGACTAGCTCGTCTTATATGTATTCTGATCATACAACTAAGTGTTATGTGGTATAGTTGTATGAATAATTGGTATAAATTTCTAAGGGCTATATTTTAGTATTAAGAAATACATCAATATCATAGTTTTCAGGCATTATAATGCCTTAAAAATGCACCTGAGTGAGCAAAACATGAAAGGAATATATGCATTCACATTACTCAACCCTTGACTTAAAAAAAGTGAAAGTTTTTGTGCATTGTGTCTTAAACAGGTTATAAGAGGCAACAAATTTCGATTTGTTTCAATATAAATTAGATATTGTCTTTAATATTTGTCACGAAACGTAGCTATTCCATTACACAAACTATACCATTAAAAAAAATTTTTTTTAGTGTTCTGGGAAATTAAGATTTTTTATTAAATTTATTTGCAACAACAATCTGTTAAATTTTTTACATAATTTTTTCACATTTCTTTAGAAATAACAGTAATTTTCCTTTTCAGTTTTTTCTAAAATCTAAAGTAATTGATGATGTTATTATTTGAATGAGTATGGTTTGATTACGCAATAAGAAAATTCTTCCACAAATATTTTTCTAAACCATTACATAAATCGTAAATGCAAAAACTAACTGAATAAAGTAAATTCAGTTACACAGTAAATAGTACAGCGAAGTTGACATTTTCTAAGATCTTACCTCTTTTTACCATATCAAGTGCTGTCTCTCTTCCAATTCCAGAACTTCCTCCCGTAATGATGACAGTCTTTCCATGTAGTGTTGTTTTATTCACGTATCGTTTTGGATATATGAGACTTCGAAGAAATACGAAAAGTGATGTAACTAAAAAAAAAAAAAGATATCTTTAGTGCATACGGTCCGTTAATTCTGTACTAGCTGTTAATGATGGTAACAGTTTTAAAATTCAATAAATTACCACCTAAAGATGTCACGCATTATGCCAAAAGTCGACACGTGAACCTTTTGTGTCAAATGAATGTTTACTCGGAAAAATAAGCGATCAAATGAGACTAACTGAGTCTTTTTATTGTAAATTTGTCTCAGCAATTCTTTGTACAATATGTGTCACGCAATATGACCTTATGAAAATGATGGTGAATGTATATTACGCTTGTCAGCAATGTCATGCAAGACATTAATTATTTATCAATGCCTAACAGCAACTAACATCCTTGAGTTCACCTCAACTCCTGCATTGATGTGAACAACTTGATTGAATTGTATTATTTTGAATCAGTTCTCTAATTTTAAAACCTTAAATAAGTTTGTTACTTGCTTCACTTTCTATGCTTTATACTGCATATTCTTGCCAAATGTTAGTCTTTATGTTAAAACAAAAAGCAAACGAGTGACTTGAGATGAAATTAATGCTGCTTGGTTAAGCTTAAATTGCTTATGACAGTTTTTTATTTTCAACAACGCAATGGAAAAGGCCAAAAACCAGTGAAAATTCGTTTTATCTACCACTTGGAAAACAGGTTTTTAATTGTGCTATTAGAGTTTCGACATGCGAACATTTATCTTTGCAGAATTCTTTTCCAATAACGATATGCTTTTCTACCGAAAAAGATTATGAGATTGGAATCTTTAATTTCTCATGGAACTTGAGAACAATCAAAGAGTCCCACTGTAGGCAGAGATTTAGTTTATTTAGTCTTGAGAATGTGCATAAAAGTTATGCTAATGTATTTAACCACATAGCAAGAAATGATGTGAAATCTTAATATCGGTTAAAAATTACAGAACATTTTGAAAATCTAGGAAGACCAAAAAAGCAGGTTTCGGAGGTCCACTTACGGTCCACGGACCACAGTTTGAGAAACACTGCATTACAGGAATGTCAATGACGATAACAAGAAGTAAGTTTTTCTTTCTTTATTACCTAAATTTCCTTTTAATTGTACTAAGCATTCAAATTTATGATAATCATTAGTATAATAATGTAAAATGTGTGTAAAATACCACGATGTGGTAGAAAATAATTCTATATTAATTGAAGAAAATAAAGATTTCAGAATGCATAAGTTTAAAAAGTTTCTACGTTTGGAAGAATTACCACGCATATTCGTTCTTATGTTTAAGAAATTTCTGTACGTACAGGATTAATCCCTTATATTCTTTTTATGTACAGTAAATCCTCTTGTGGCAATCATCTTCTAATTTTGCTATTAAATTTTAATATTTTACTCATTAAATCTTGAAGTTACATTTCCAGTCTTTACTAAAGTAAACTTCTTTCATTGTGAACAGCAGATAATCATTTCTGAATCGTTAATGACATAACTCTAAGCATAATGTAGTTTACTAATTCAGAAGTCAAACAACAAAAATCAGCGTTATACAACTAACAAAATGTTATAACTTTTTATATTTACCGATTTTTTTGTTTGACTTCTGAATTAGTATTTTCGGCGTGTTATTGTGTCTTAATTATATTAGTTTTATTATGCAGATTTGATTTTGGCGTTTACGAAAAATCATGTTGATGAATTCTTCATACTATTTTTTTTATTTCTTGCCTAAACATCTCGCAACGTATTAAAAATCAATATTGAAGTGATACTAAGGCAGTTCACTTTTGCTTAAAGTTTCATAAATTTTAAATTAATAAACTTAGACTAAAATATCTTCAGAAAGCTTTAAATCTGAAAACATGATTAAAAGTTACTGTCGCAAAGAAATTAGGCAGAAAAGGAGAGAGAGATTGTAGGCGATACTAATATTTAATAAGTTTTTTTTTCATAAAGTTCCAACTTCTTTAAAAAAGAAGGTGATTAAGTGAAACAGAAAATCTACAAAGAAGATTTTATTGGATGAGTATTTTAATGGTGAATACGAGCTTTTAAAATTACGAAACACAATTTATAATGCAAGGCTTTTGCGTTTTTTTTTTTTTTTTTTTTTTTTTTTTTTTTTTTTTTGCATAAGAATAGTTTTTACATTTTAAAATACTGTTGCGGGCGTATAAGTTCGTAATAGATTGAATGCACAAGTCCGATAAAAGGTTAATAAAATTTATTCTTATCAAAAGAAATATATCAGAACGCTAGAATTTTCCTCAGATATTCCTACAAGTACACAATACCACGCAATATAATCAGTAGTTATGCTCCAAACTACTAAAAACGTTAAATAGAATGCAATGCATAGCGCATTTAAAGAGAAAGCTAATCCGATTTATCTCAGTTTACGCGAAGTTAAACTCGAAATAACAATAACTAAGCAACTAACTAAACAACTGAATAAAACGCTCTCTCTCTGGGGCCTTTTGATTTCATGGTCGCGGTATTTCTAGTAATTTCTGTTTCTCGAGATTTCTCGCGAGGATGATTTCGAAAAAAAACGGTTTACAACTAACATAGTACAATTACATTTATTTAGTTTCATACAATAAAGAGATATATATTAATGTAAATGGCACGTGCCGCTGCATTTTATTCCGATAGCTTCTCTACAAATTGTCCGCGCTGCGTTGCACGAAATACACAGTTTGATTATGATCTACTAAAATTTCTATCTAAATCAAAATCGTTAACATACTATCATTTATGCATTTCAGAAAATTAAATGTAAGATAGACTAATTATGAGTTTTTGGTAGATTTGTACGCCTTGCTTTAATTCATCGTAATTTTAATATGACATATAATATACAAATATAAACTACATCAGTTCTTTTTAAAAAGCCAAGAGCTGTGAATCGCAAACTAATAAATCCATCATAATCTTTTGTAAGTGACCGCCTTAAAGCGATCCAATCATGCAGCCAGAGTCCTGATGCTAGCTTGAGAATTATCCCATCTAAATCAATATAAAATTTTCACTGACAGTAGTCCGATTGACGGCTTACACTGATAGTTAGAATCTCCATTAAATGCTAACATACACAATTATTAAATAGGAAAAAATCACTACCGAAAGCCCAGTTGAAATATATGACTTAAAGCTATGAAACAGCATGACTGATTTCGGATTTCAACCTATACCTATCACTCAAGCTGATATTTATTTTACTACATGCCAGTCACCCATCTGAAGTGACTGATAGGGCGAACAGGAGTTATCGTATATAGAAAAACGGGAAAAGAATAAGGCATTCCAATGTTAATCGTGGCGGACCTGCAAACCTCCTATCGAGCGCGGGAAGCGGGCAATGGTAGTTAAATGGCATTAAAACAATGGAAAATAAAATACTTAAATTCTTCCTTTCCTTTTTGGAAATAGAATTCTCATGGTTTCCCCCATGTCATTGATGTATGTCGTTAGTGGTGAACTGGAAGAAAAAAAAGCCGTAACGGAAAGGTTAACATTTTTGAGACTTTTAGATAAGAAGCTAATCATCCCCGAAAAAACATAAAATTGACCGTACTGTAGGAGCTGTATAGAGAAGGACCAAGAACAACCGCATAATTTATTACAATAAAGAATGACTAATCTTTAAAAAATTTTCCATTCAAAAATCGCCAGACGAGGAGCAATTTCCAGCTTATCAGGAAGCGAAGCACTGCAAAAAGCGTTCGAACTAACCTTTCTGCAAAATAAGCATGAACCTCTTCATTAAAGAAAGAACGTTCCAAGCTCCTCCGTTCATGACCATCTTAAGCCTAAAAAAAGTTAAAACTCAGCTGGCGATAAGTAGGAAGAATATGGTGGTTCATTGCAATTGAATGTTTTGGAAGATATTGCTGTAAAGACAATGCTATATCGGACCCAAAAATATCGTATAAAAGATACCATTGCTCAGAATAAAAAAGTTCTGCTAACTTCTATCCTGTTTCTTGACGGAAAGCACTGTTGTAAAATACTACTTGATAAATTTTCAGAGAAAAATTCGCAGTAAATAAGCCTTTAAAATTTTTTTAAATAAAAATTGAAATAGCAGCGCCCAGCTTTTAGGTTTGATGCCAACACCCGGGGGGGTGGGTGTTTGTGTGCATGCGCTTGTGTATGTGGGAGAAAGAGAGAAGATGGTTTTTTCCACTGCCCCACTTTGAATTTTTGTTTTTGGATCGTAGTGTAGGCACCTGTTTTTATCTCTTAGTATAACACAGTTTAAGAAATTGTGGCCCTGTGTCGCATTAGTCAGCAAATCTTCGCAGAAAGAATTTTCGTCTTCCTTTTTGCTGTTCTCTCAAAATCCGAGGTACAAATCGAGCACAGACTTTTCTCATTTTCAGACGTCCGATTAAAGGAAAACTTTTTGTACATCTCAAGAACTCGAAAAGCGAATTTTTAGTCTCGTCAGTGGAATTGGCAGCACATGAGCGGAAAGAACTCTGACAAAGAGATTAGAGCATACAAAGGTAAGAGAAAAGATGACGCGCAAAGGAGCATTTTCATTACACACGCATAAACATTCGGAGCCTGAGAGCAGTGGGGGAACGCCAATCTGGGTTTATTGTAAAAAATAGCATATCGAAGTTCCTTAACAGGCCGCGCTAGGGGAATAAAGGGGAATCAGCACAGGTTGCCACTGCTCACTTTGAAATCGTGCAGCTTTTTAGAAACATGCTCAATTTTAAAAGATGAAATATATAAACAACGCGAAATCAAATTTAGTCTTCCGGTGTCCATATCCAGGAGAACAGTTAGTATTCAAAATTTGAAGAACAATAAAGGAACATGCGGATCAGTTCGTTTGGTTATATTGGGAACTGTATCTAAAAAAGCAAACACATGTAAAGGACTAAAATACTTAGATAGAATAATGGAGATTAAAAAAAAATCTAAAGGTCTATGTTAAATTCGTCCAAGGTGCGTTTTTTAACATGTTGTGTTAACCTTTATTATTGAATATATGTTCTCGCACTGAAACCATAAAAT